ATACCTGCAATACTGCAGCAGTCACGAAAATTCTTTTCTCGTCTTCTGATAAGGATTTCATGTCATGTATTTTGGTCAGAACATTTTAATTGGCTATCTTCTCTTCAACTGCCACATCTGACAGGGGAAAATGGTAAGGCTGTCAATTTCAACTAACTTCATTTGGTTATCTTTGTGGCTGAAGAGGTGAAAATTTTGGTCTGATAAAGAAAAACATTGAAGGAGAGCGCGTAGTTCAACCCCACCATTCCATACACTATTGTTGGGGCCCGTCCCTCAATTGAATCCACAACTAACATTACTTATAACTTTCCAAGAATATAAACAAACTTGACCTTCTCAATTACTCCTCATACATATTTCACATATACAAAACTTCAAAATGGCAAAGGATAAGGTAAGATTCAACCTCAAAACTGTATGAGATAGAGGGGGATAGAGCTTGAGCTGACGCTTGTTGATTCTAGGTTTGTCTCGCCTACAGTGGTGGTTTGGATACCAGCTGTATTTTGGCTTGGTTGATTGAGAAGGGATATGATGTTGTCTGCTTCATGGCTGATGTTGGTCAAGAGGGTACGATACTCTGCATTTTAAGAGAGTAAGACTTTACTAATGAGAGAGCAGAGGACTTCGAAGCTGCCAAAGCTAAGGCCATGAAGATCGGAGCTGTTGCATGCTATGTTGAGGATTTGAAGAGGTATGCAAACTTATTCATTTTTATGGGAGAACTCAATTGACATTATATCCAGAGAATTCGTTGACGAACTTTGCTTCCCTGCCGTCCAATGTAACGCCATCTACGAGAACGTATACTTGTTGGGTGAGTCATACACATATACTATATAAGAAGATCGAAGGAGAGTTTCAAGGCTAATTGGGTCGGAAATCAGGTACATCTCTTGCTCGTCCAGTCATTGCTCGTGCACAAATCACAGTCGCCCAGAAGGAAGGATGTATTGCCGTATCCCACGGTTGCACTGGAAAGGGTAACGATCAAGTTCGATTCGAACTCGCATTCTATGCTCTTCAACCAACCATCAAGGTCATTGCCCCATGGCGTCTACCAGAATTTTACGAGCGTTTCGCAGGCCGTAACGATCTCCTCGAGTATGCTGCTAAGGCAGGCATTCCAGTCAGCAGCACAAAGGCAAAGCCATGGAGTATGGACGAGAACTTGGCACACTGCAGTTACGAAGCTGGTATCTTGGAAGATCCAGATGTCACCCCTCCAGAAGATATGTGGAAGTTGACTGTTGACCCATTGAAGGCTCCTGATCAGCCAGAAGACTTCACTCTCGTTTTCGAGAAGGGTCTCCCAAAGAAACTCATCACAAATGGCAAGACCATCACTGATTCAGTTGAGCTCTTCCTCGAATCCAACGCCATTGCTCGTCGTCACGGTGTTGGACGTATCGATATCGTTGAGAACCGTTTCATCGGTCTTAAATCCCGTGGATGTTACGAAACTCCTGGTCTTACATGTCTCCGCTCCGCCCACGTTGATCTCGAAGGTTTGGTTATGGACCGTGAAGTCCGTGCTCTTCGTGATCAATTCGTCACCTTCAACTACTCCAAGATTCTCTACAATGGTCTTTACTTCTCCCCTGAGCGTGAGTTCATTGAGGAATCTATCGTCGCTTCCCAGAAGAATGTCAATGGACAAGTCAGATGTCGTGTATACAAGGGTACCTTCAGTGTCTTGGGTCGTTCCTCAGATACTGAGAAGTTGTACGATGCAAGTGAGAGTTCAATGGACGAAATCGGTTCATTCGCTCCTGCGGATACTACTGGTTTCATCAGCGTTCAATCTATTAGATTGAAGAAGTATGGTGAGGCTAAGGCGGCTGCTGGTGAAAGACTATAGATGGATCTTGTCACCTTGGTGGCTTGAACTTAGTCTGAGTCTTGGTTTGGACCTGAGACATCCGCGAACTTGCACCATCGAACGAACTTCAGATGATGCACTGATTGTCTCCGGTCCTCGGAGTGCAGATGGAGATGGGAATATAGTAAACTAAAATGCTACACAAAAGTCGCATATGAATGAAAACAGACCAGCTTGTTCTTGCCAGTGCCGCTTCAATTCATGATGATTTATGTGTTTGTTTCCAAGAAAAGACTTAATGATGATTACTAACAGGTATCTGGATCTGTTCTTGGTCATGTACAATGCCGCACTCGCTTAACCTAAGTATTCCCCCTTCTCACCTGTATCATTTTCGTCTGATCTCCCTTATATCATTGCATCTCATCTCATTTCGTTTCACTGTTTTAGATAGATGCCGAGATACACAATGCAGGAGTTGCATATGTATGCATGCGAGACAGTGGCAGAGAACCGTTTGGGGATCTTAGTTCTTTGGTCCCTGGGTTTGCCTAGTGTATTGTGTAGGGCTTGTTGAGGTGGCAATGTGTCATGAGTAGGGTCTATAACGGTGAAGGATGTAGCGGTTGTACATTCTTTGTGTAGACATATGAGGTAAGTTCAAGGTAAGGTAAGGCAGAGCAGAGCAGAGGGGGTGGGAAGAGGAAGGGGGGATGAGGGAAATGGAAAAATGGACTAGGCGACATTAGTAAAGGTACACAGACGAATGTACTGCTATTTTGGAGAAGACTATCTTTCCTAAAAACAACCAGTTTACTCAAATACTTCATTTAAAAGATTGCTAAGATCAAATTGTCGCTTGCGGTTATTATTTTAATTCGCAGCAAGATAATCAAAAACTACCGTGGAGAGGTGATGAGGTTAAAGGTGAGATTCAGGATGAAAAGATGAGTTAAAAAGATGGGTGGTATTCGCATTCAGAGACACACTTTATCCAGAGAAACTCTAAAAAATGCCATGTGCCGACGTTGCATTCTGAAATGCATGTAGTATAGAAGGAATCTTATACATGTATTCTGCATGGAACATGGATGGAAGATGGGATATGCATGAAATCAAGTATAGAGCTATGGGTTTAACGAGTCGTTGTGTATGGAGATTCTCCTTCCCCTCGCTCTAAGGGATATCTCTTTTCTCGGGGGTTTTGCTTGTGAGGATAGGGATAGCTAGAGTACTGATGGCGTACACTGCCTCTTTTTTTTTTGGCTGACAATGGCTATTGTACGTTTGCTCTGTACGGATATTGTGGAGGTGGTTAGTGGTGTAGTGGTGGAAGCTATCCATCATGTTTTCTTTTTTATTCTCTTCTTTGTTTGGTGAGTACGGTAGATGGTACAAGAAAGCATGTATGTACGAAGTATGTCATCATCTCGCGTTCTTCCCAAAACATAGCAAGTTTCCGAGTCGGAGATATGTAAGACTGTACGCTGCGAATATGTAGGGTGAGTGAGTGAAGGCGGTGTGGAATTTGTGGTGGTGGTGTGTTGAGGGAAGGGGAGGGGGGTGTAGAGTGGTATTTCTCCTACGTAGAATATATATGGTAGGGCTTGGTGTATAAATGGGGCATGGGGTGCTGGCTTGGATGGGGTATGGTGTATGGTGTCTGATGTCTGGTGTCTGGTGTCTGGTGTATGGTGTATGGTATGCGGGTTGGTGTGGTGGCACAGAGATATAAGCGGCGCGCGTTTTTCCGGTTTGGGAATCTCGGGATGGAGAGTTATGTACATGCAGTCATGGGATAGGGAAGTTCAGATCGGACAAGGAGAAATGGATTGTGTTCTATTTTTATGGACGACTGCAGAGGAGAATTTCTTGCTGCAGCCCACTTTCGCATTTTGCGGCTGTAGCAGTGCTCTGGTTGTTTGCGGTACTACAAGTGACATCTGTTTACAGAGAACACACCACATATCTCCTTCACCGACACCATCAAACATGTCGTGAATTCTTTACCAATGTATCAAATCATGGCGAAGGAACAAAAACAAAGCAAGAAAGGAATCAAAAGAATAAGAGGAGACAAATGAAATCTCATCTGGCGCCGAAGACCAATTCTCAGCGCCGGAACAAACTTGTACCAGCCTGCTCAGGCTCGAAGATCGAGTATGTACCGTAAGCCTGCGTCTCGTACCTGCACGGATGTGCGGTATTTTGCAGAAGGGACTCGTACCGTTCTGAAAGGAATCAGATGAATGGCTCCGCGTGTGCGCGTTCGTACCTGAACCTCTGGAGCGGTAAGGCGATCTGGTTCGTCGATAAGGTAATACCCGTCTTACCTCATTTTCGACTGATCGACTTATTACTCAGCGATACACTGATCAATGTCCTTTGTAACATTGGTTGTAATCAGAAGTATGCAATGAGCGTTTCTAGAAGTTTTCCAATTTTGGAACATCTTGGCAAAATTGGGGTTTGAATATTTTAAAGTGGTGGTTGGTGTGAGATTTGACCTTTGATAGTTAGATAGATGAGTAAAGCAATGGGGGCCGAGTAAAACGTGGTCCGAGTGGACATGTGATAGAGGAGTGCATGGTGCTCTCGTATAGGTACTGTGATGTCCAATCAAATCTTTGTTGAGCACCAGTGAGTAGATATGGTACGTTTTCATCTACAGTAAGGGTTACAAAACGCAGGGAAGAAAGTAGACAAAATAGACGAGCAAGAAGTAGGATTTTGAATTGGAGACAATTGTACGCATGAGAATGGGGGGAATGTCCCCTTGGGGTAAATCGTATCGAGCCCAAGTGTCTAGACTCTGGATTCTGAAGGACGATCCGTACATCCGGAGAACAAGGCTAAAAGGGAAACTTGAAGATATAAATAACCTTGAAGTTTTTTGTGCCTCGCGGTTGAATTGAAAATGTTTAGTAGGAGGAAGGTAACGTATGAGTCGATACTCCACATTATTTAATGAATGTTAAATTTTGAGATTGCAATTGGAATGAATGAGACGATTGTGACCATAATAATTTATGTGAGATCTAGACTATGTCTTTAGCAAGGCACAGTGACTCGCTTTCATCATCGTAAAATTATCTATATAATCTAAATAATGAAAATCCAAACAGTAAATTCTTGAGGGCTATGCCGTATATCCCGAGACAAAAGATTCAGGGCTTCAATATGTTGTACGTTTGAATTGGCAGATATGGGATTTCTCTATTGATCGATAACCATTACCCGTGCGTGCCGTTTGTGGAGAATTATCTTCAATTGAGACACATCGCGCGAAGGAGCTGAAGGCGCAAGACGAAACGAAACGAGCTACTATATATCGTAGTAATTATCGTTATGGGGCAGACAAAGTGTACTCGGTACGATAGTATGCATGGGTATAATGAGAATGACCAAAAAGTGTGGGTGTTGATGAGATGTTAGACAAGGGAAAAACGTGGAACCTTCAGCTGTCAGGGATGATTTTAAGAATGGTTCGTCGACATATTGGGAAAATGGAGTCAACTGTAGGTGTGGGTGGTATTGCGGCGTAGAGCACGAGGATACAGGGTTTCTCCTAAGTATGACCAGGCTCGAAGCTATATCGCGGTAAACAGGATTTGGAAGGTTGACGGGTTGAAGGAATAGCATTCGACTGAACAAGAAATTCGTAAGATCTCAAATCAAATGTGCCGCACACGATGTAATACTGTAATACAACTAGATTGCTTCTAGAATGAAGAAAGTAGGGTACCTGACATTCAATCGGATGAACTTTATGTAGTGCTTATTTCAGTATGTATACGAATACTACACTGCAGCATGGTAGTTGCGTGGTTCATTGAAGCATACACATGTAGCTAACAAATACGATGAAGGGATTAAAGCGTTGACATCTTGGCAATTAAAAAGACACATGTGACACTCTAGGATAATTCTGCTGAATGAAGCCCTCTTTTAAGAAAGGCTTGTTTAGGGTAGTACCGTACATCCGGAAGGAATGAGGAGGTTCCTCGTACTTGTGTAAACATGGCTAGCTCAAATTAAATTCGGTCCGAGGTAGCCAATGTCTCAATCATCGACTGTCAACCGCAGGTATTTTGTGGTAGATGTAAATGCGGTACAGAACATTCTATTATACTTCCGGTCAGGAATCTTTAACGGACTTTCTCTGTAAAGAATAGTGGATCACTCTTCGCAGTTGCATGAAGAAACCGAATAGAATAAGCATCTTACTTCCGGTAGTATTCAATGTTCATTGGCTAATCACCAGAATTGACATGGTGTTTCAGACGAACCTCGTGTGGACAAGGATCGAAGTGGGGGTGGATATATCGCGCGATGAGATTGCCGCCGGAGTCACTGTGAAGGCCAATCATGTATGTACCGGTCCGTCGATTCCTATGATACATTGCACCCAAAGAGCCAGGCCATCCAGCTCTGCCGCGTTGTAGGGGTTTCTTCACCCTTTCTAGAATCCAAAATTGTGTACCCTTTCTCATTGGGATCATCTCGATATGGTGTATCGATATTCTCTTTATCTTTTGTGGCGGATATAGAGATGATATCCAGGGAAAAGTCCCCTTCTTGGGTGCCGAAAAAGCTTATCAAGGTTAGTAAGAATGATAATGATTTGACTGGTAGAATTACCTTCGCATCATAATACTAAATCTTTTAACGTTTTTCAAATCTAGAGGGACGCCATCTTTCTTTTCGCGTCCCCTATAAGTGGGTTTCAGATCTGCCCACTTCACAGAGATCGATGAATGATCTGCAGGGCCCTTGAAGTCAAACTCCCAACTAATCGTACTTTGTTCTCTTCCATTGGGACTTTTTGGAAGTAATTCATCTTTGAGGATGAAGGTGTACATTTTTCGATCACTCTTTCCTAGATGGAGTAAAATTCCATCGTACGCTGATAGATCCCACTACAAAGTCAGCTGTTAGCGTGAAGCCTATCGCCAGTTGATATAATTCTGCTAGAGGGTATCGTAGAATCACCCAAAGTGTATATTCGTCATTACTGGGAAGAAGAAAAGGCGCTTCTGTATCCAACTCCACAAACAGGTGTGATTTCCGGCCGCCATACGACATAAACTTGCGTCTGACTAGTAATACAACTCTGTACCTAGCCTTATGCAGGACAAAATTTCATGATGGTGCAATGGGATTGGAAGCCATGTACGAATGTAGCATTCTAGATCTTGTACAGACAACCCCTCATTGTCTCTCAACACGCATGTTTGATGTTCTAGCCGAAATGAGACTCCGGAGGTAGCTTTGAAAATAGCTCAGAGAAGGCCATGTAAAACTATCAGGTGCTATTGGATCAATGTAACGATAAAGCTTGATCTGTGTGGAAAGCAAGCAACTTGTTTGGCATGTACGCTAAGCGCTTTATTGAGTTCACTTGAAACACCGGGGTGATTGAGAAAACCCATGCCTCGTCTATACTAACTTACAGTATGATCTGCAGTCGTCCTTTGAGATGCAAAACCTGCACCTCCCAGAGTTTTAATGTCCAGTGTACCCTTGAATGTAGCTATAGAGAAAGGCGTGGAACACTCAAGACAAGATTGTGAAGCTCCACCTCGAACTCTATCATCACTTGAGGTCCAGTCAAGGGCCGACCAGGGTCTTGATAAATAAGGCGTTAGTGAAAGGTTGACAAAATGCCCCTGCGGAGATTTTATGCTTACTTTGAACCACCAAAAAGATCCATTGCCAAAATTAATACTGATTGTCTCTACCTGGATCTTTCAATACTCAGACTCTTTGGAAATATCGTGTTTTCGATAATGTATGATTTCTAGATTATGATGGCACCTAATAAAAGGCCAATGGTGATGTTGGGTAGTAACAATGGTTCGATTGATGTCAGATGAAGTTCAAGATACTACCTAGTACTAGGGGAAGGGAACTTCCGTTCGGTTCTGTAAACCCAACTAGCAGCCTCCTTCTCTGTACGGCAAGCTGTTAGATATTTATTATTACTATCTGTAATTACCTACTTACTATTGAAGATAAGATATGTAAGTAACAAGGTAACAAGGTAATAATTACAAATCTCATCCCGTATAAATCATCCAATAGATTTGCAGATATCAATTTTATCTATATTTATATCTTACAGTCATAGTCATATATACCGATTCTCTGGGAAATCATCTTATTACCTAAGCGCGTTTAATTATTTTCCACACGGTATTATTGTCTGTGCGTTAAATCAAGCAATTGCAATTGTGGGGGTGAGATTTGTTAGTTAGTGCCCTGTCTCCTGTCTACCTAGTTACCTACACTCGGACTTAAGACAGGTATCGATATCTTGATATGCTTCTAATTGCTTTCCAACAACGCTACCAACAAAACAAACACCAACAGTAACACTGGCACTTCAAGGATCAGGACCATTGATTTACAACAAAGCATGCATTAACTGTACGACTGCGGCAATTTGATACTAGTGTTAGAACCAATTTCGGTCATGATTCTTCAAGGAGCATAACCCGAGTTGTACGAGGCAAAAAACTGGTCAGTTACGGATCCTTCGACCGAGAAGCTCTGGCCTTATCCTTTCATTACTATACTCGAACTATGATGGTCCCCAATCCCGTGGCGTATCTCTTGTGTCTGAATTGCACACTCAACTGTTGGAATGGAGACGGGTGCCCGCGCAGATCAAATCTCAATGTGCAAATAAGCATATGTGTATGTTGGTGGCTGTGAGTGCATCTATTCTGAGCAGTGGCATTTGGTGCACGGCAATGAAAGCCTCTAAAAATGGTTTGGAATACACATCACAGCGGCATTGAGAACAGTGGGAAGAAATTGTGTAGAGAAGTCGTGCAAATTTGCTATACAAAAGAATGAAAGGGAAAAAACACTAATCGTACTGGGTATTTACAATAGGATCGTTCCTTCATTTCTACCAGCAGTAAATCAAACTCCGTACGCTCCTGACTCCCATTGATTGACCCTTCAAATCTCCCGTCATTTCCAAGCAATGCCCAATCCATCTAAAGCGAGTGTCGAGCACTTCGAACTCTGTTTCACATATCCCAAGCAAAAGAACCAAATATCCTGAATTGTCGTTTTGATACCCTCTCTCATATATGCGTCATCATGCGGGCGAAGGAGGCATAGAAAGAGGAGTAGTAGGATATTGATATCCGGACTCGGAGCATGTGGTAGAATGCTCGTAAGAGTGTGATAAAGGTGGCGTCTGCATATATCTGTTAGGACCCAGTCCAAGTGGCTTTGCAGCTTGAGGGTGCCTTACATGAGGGTTATCATAACCGTGATGAGAATGAATATCGATCGCTGGCAAGCCTTGGTAGCTCATATTGTATGGGCTCATGGTGTCTTCAGGTTCTCGCTTGATTGCATCGTTGAAATGCATCATGGAAGGTAAGGTAACTGGTACCGGTGCCATGTAATGCTGGTATGCCTCTGATCGTTCACTGTCGGAAACTGCGCGGTATGGCTGCGAATGTGGGTATGGTGGGTAGGAAATATCCTCTGGCGCAGGGTATGTATGATATGTAAATAGAGGTGGCGTCCTAGATCCATCACGATCGAAGTTTTGAGAAAATATGATCTCGTCATCGCTGTGCATTGGAGGTGTGTACTGGCTAGGCAAAAGTCTTGGGGAAACTTGTCGTTGCACATGTTCTGGGCTTCTTCTGTATTGTTGATTCTCGCTGATGCGTTCTGGCTGTTGGTGAAGCTCCGCATGCGCCTGAGGTGGAGATGCTGAAGAGGAACCGGCTCTGCGCTCGAGGTCTTCGAGACGTCTCTTGAGCTTCTTGCCTAGAGGTAAGGAATCAGTGGCTGTTTATGATTCGAGACCTTGCATGGAAAACTTACGGTAGTTTCTTTGAGCAATACGATTCTGAATTCTTCTGCGCTCAGCAAGATCAGAGATCTTTGTCCAATCTTCATCTGGATTGGCAGAGCTGCTGAAAGCACTGCTGGTGCCGTGGGCTGTCATATGTCTGGCGGTAGTAGCCGTGGAGTATGTGTAGCTGTGTCGAGACATGTTGATAATTTGTTCAAAGTGATGAAAGTGTACTGATTCAGTATCAAAAGCAGAAAAGTTGAAGATATAATCTGATCTGAGGAGCCTTGGAGGATCTGAAGTTCTGTTACAACAAGGTCTTGAGATGCCTTACACTGGGGAGGCTTCCTCCATATATATGTGAATGTGGGATAACCAAACTGACGCAGCTATACGGAATTTCCAAACCACTTGGCCCCGAATCCTGGCGCACTTCTTGCTCAGCTACTCTACAACACAAACGACGAAACCCTGTTGAAAGACCCTAGAAGAGGAAATCCCCTGCAATTACTTTGGATACCCTGCACAGCATGCCCCCCTTGTAAGCCACTTTGCGCACCCTGTTAAAAACGGCCGGGAGGTGCGCCGTGCAGCTGGGGCAGTCGATTCTGCCACAGAACACATAAACACACACACCATCCTTCCACAAACACCGAGTCCAAACCTAAAAAGGGTACATTCATCCACATGCATGTATGAGGCGTACTAAAGATCCAATCTCGTAGTCAAGATATCCTGAATTGGAATTGTGGATTAATTAAGGGCCATTAATAGATTTCCGCCATATCAATGAGTATGATCAATGTCTATCTCGTAAAGCAGCATCCAACCATCACCCACCAACCACTAACCGGAGAAATTCATCCAGAGAGATGTATGCATGTGTGTGATGGAAAATGTAGGTAAATTTAGAAACATTTCACAATTTATTAATTTTGACTAATTCCAGAGATAGAATCAGCCAATACGTACCTAGGGGTGAGGCAGTAAGAAGAAGAAAAAAGCAAACTCTATTAACAACTCGCCAGCCCTATGAGCACACATTAGGCGTTGATGAAGCACAAACCCAAAACCTATTTTGAAGCCTTTATCAAACCATGAACCATGGCGCTGAATGAATGAACGCACGAGCGAACGAACGAACGAAACACACAGTCTACTAACTGCTCCTAGCCATTTGCATTTACGTTTTTCCACTTTTCCTTATGAGGTATTCTTTTCGCTCCTGCCTTCCCTCATGATGTAAATGTTAATTATAGACGGAGAACTAATCACTTGTACACTAGGTACAGTCTCCATCTTCATCTCATAGAAGTAAAGTACGATGCAGTGAGTACTACTGTGATTGATGTGTGAATGATTCAGTTTACTCTGTACTAACAAGGCAAGGTCGAATGGTTAGTAATTAGCAACGGCGACGGTAATCTAATCGGACCCATCTATCTAACCATGGTAAATTGGCGTTCTTTGGGGAAAATACTTGCACGTTATGACCAGGTTGGAGATAGTTACCAGATTGCATCTTTGTTGCATATTCATAATGGTTGCCTGAAGACTGAAGGGAAATTGCACCCCAGTACAAAGTAAAGACCTAGAGACCGATAGACGATAACCGAATGCGACGGACACTATTCACTGGATTAGTTACGAATTACGGAAGCATTTTGTTACAATCTCGAAAACAGTCTTGGTCTGTATTAATGGAAGCATAGTTTTCTGTTCTGGGACTGGGAGGCTCCATTTTGGTACATCGGAAGCCATGAGTAAACATTCTCATCACACACCTAACACCTAACTAGTAGGCTTTGAGCCCGCTCTTGTCTTGCTTCCCCTCCCCTTTTGCCATTTTTCTGCCCCAAGGACAATCACAAGATTCTTCGAGGTCGCCGAATTATTAGCATGGCTGAAATATCTAATTATGGCACTAATGGTATATGATACTGAGCATTTACTACAGTTGGCGAGTACTGTTTACGAAGTCAAGTTAAAGGGGGGTTTAGATCAGTATGTACGTAAATTAGGTTAACTAATGGGGGCAAGATCCCCTATGGGCCTGATCTATGGAGTATCTTTGATGGCTTTAATCACTATCGCCATGCAGAATAAACCATCTTTTATCTTGGAAAACACTTAGCCAATTTCCACGGGAAAATGGTTGCGGATGTCGCGATATTCCTTAAATATTCTAACTGGCCTTTATCGTTCAATATAATTCCTTCCATTATTCCGTCTCAACTAGTGGTGAGTTAATGCGTTGCAAACAAGTTAATATCATTCAAGCCAATCAAGCCAAGAAATATCTTCAGCATCTTGAAATTGTCATCGCCGTCTATCATAATTGATCAATAGGCAATTGATTGCGATTTGATCCCATCTAAAACCCTCATACACATGCCGTGTTACGTCTAGCCCTGGAAGTACACGTGCTTTGTCATATGTTTATTTATTTCGGCCGCCGATGACTATGATGCCTGGGACAAGATAATATATTGATTGGGTGGTAAAACGATGATGAACAAGGTAAAATACAAATGTTACCATAATTTTTCTTGGGAACCACTCCACACCACTATCACATCAAACCCTTGAACACACAGACACCCCAGCCTCTCCGCCATCAATTAAAGTCCACACCGCAGGAAAATTGGTTGCATGGAGCATACGAAACCCTGTTATACACTTTTTGACCAATTATCGTCGCAGATTCATGCTTAAGCGAGCGAAGTCGTAATTCAACGACGGTGAGAAAGACAAACAGTAGCGGAGTGCCACAATTTTATGCTCAAGTTACGAAAGGAACAAATTCTCGCATCGTTCATTCCGGTACGACCGAAGAACGCATTAGATGCCCAGGTGGCCTTGTTGCGCATGACACCATTGACCGC